CTTCTTCGCGCACATAAGGTATCTTCATCCTTACTGTAGACCATATACTTTGGTATTGATCAGCTGTCTGTCTATTCGGTTACACCAAGTACATGCGGTTAGAGACAATGAGATGTTTTTTTCTAAAATAAATGCTGTTAGCTAATGGATATATCTTACCAAAAAAAAAGGTTGTAGGTCGTCTTTCCTACCAATGACCATAGATCTTTACTTCGAGTAGTTCAAGGATCATTCAAAAACAAACCTGCCGAGCCTTTACACCATGTTGTCTTTTCATTAACCGGTACGTTGCGATGATTGAGCAGCATCCTCAGTATTTTCCTCTCTTCTAGAATCTCCAAATTCACCCGCCTATAGTCTGTTTCGATCTACGGCCGTTGAAGATGCTATGGATCTTTGTCGTAGATGTTTGGAGTGTTATATCCTTTTTAGGTTATTAGGTGAGTAACTATAGCATTTTGGCTCAGTGTATGCGTCTGTGATTCCGATTATTTTTTCAAAAATTCTCCATTCACATTTTTTTTTGTTCTAGAGTAGATTCTTTTTATCGTCTTTGCTTCTTGCAATCATACTCTAAAAAAGTTCTCTTACTTGTCTACTCCAGAACCTTCTTATTCACCGTCCGAACTTTCCTTGCAGATCGATCGAGCGACGCAAAAAAATCTATTCAAGACCTGATGGCGAAATTGAAACAGTATCCTTTGTACCGAATGATACATATTGCAATAGCATGCGATCGACAAGATCTATTTAGTGAAACTAATGTTGAGTATCTAAATAATATGAATACACCATTCCACAGGTAACGTTTCTGCATTTTTTTGGCATTCTTTTTTTGTGGCAAGTGAAAAATGTGTTTTAGTCTTATGAATATAATGGTACAACCAGAAGGCAAATATCCGCTGCTTTTGGCGATTGAAATGCATCGCTTGAAAATAGTGCGGCGAATGCTTGCGATGGGTGCGGATCCTTTAGTGAAAGATATAAATGGAAATAATGCAATCCATTATGCCT